GTCCACCAGGTTCTCGTAGAAGTTGCGGGCGTCTTCATCCTCCCAGATCCCGCCCTCCAGGTCGTACTCTCCGGGTTTGCCGGGGGTGAAAATATCGATGCCGGGGCCGTGCTCTGGGTGGGCGGAGACATGACGGCGTTAAAAAAACAACGGTCACTTCCTCGGGAGGAGCACGGATTGGACTAGGACACCCACCCTCCTGCACGGTCTTGTCCTGAGGCAGCTCGGGCATGTTCTCGTCCAGCAGGTCAGCCAGAGACTGAGTGTTGGCCAGCAGCTTCTGGTACGAGGTGGCGAACTCCTCGTACTGCTTGTGTCGGTCCTCGCTCAGCTCCCCTTTGGAGTGCAGGATACGCCTGGAGAGGGAGACAAACAAAGTGAGCGGGGGGGGGAAACCTCTCTGAGTCTACGTGACACAGTTTCACAACACTGATTACGCGTCTGGAAACGATGAACTAGTTTGTGAACATGAGGTATGAGTTCAGAGATGATTACAATTCCCTCGTCGCCACCGTGGAAGTTGCTTTCTGCGTTTTGATCTTTGAATCTTACGGCCCGCTCTCGGACGGGCACTCACCTGTTCTGCCTCTCGGTGTTCTGCAGCTCGCGGTGGTCCTTCTTCAGGTGCTTGGTGAGCGAGGTGAAGTACTCGCGCAGGAGGTTCTGGAAGGGCTGCTGTTTCTCGGTGCTGATTATCTCGCTGGGAGGGAAGCCCAGGCCGAACTTCTCGGCGGCCAGTTTGACCTTGCGGGGCAACAGGCCGGCGATGTCGTCCCCGCAGTGTTTGCAGAAGCTGATCACCACCGACACGTGGGTGTGCGTCTCCCGGTCGGTCCCGATGATGCTCTTCAGCTGCTCGTAGATCAGAGACAGCCCCTCTTTGTCGGTGAAGAGGCCGACGATGGTGAGCTCGGCGATGAAGCGCAGGTCGGTGCGCAGCTTGCTCACGTTGGGCGACTTGTCCTCCTTCCTGGCCTCAAAGTGCTTCTTCCACGCCTGCAGCAGCAGCGGGGCGAACTCTGTGTACCGCTGGTGGAAGAGGGAGCACAGGTGGACGGCGCAGCCCACGTCGGAGATCTTCAGCTTGGCCTCCACGACGGAGCTCACGGCCTCGCCGATGTACTTGCTGAGGTTCAGAGAGCCGAAGTCGTTGGAGAGCGAGTCCCGCTGCTGCTCGGTGAGCGTGCGCAGCTTCTTCACGAAGGCCGTGTTCTTTTTGAGGCTGGAGTCCAGGCGGCTGAAGAAGGCCTCCTCGGGCCGACCCTCCTGGGCGTTCTGGTTCTTGCTGCGGAGCTCCTTCCTGCTCTGATTGCGCTCCCAGGCCTCCTGGTGCAGCTGATGTCCCTCCTCCTTTTCCCTGCAGAGGAGACGTACAAATGATTAAGAGGAGACATGAAGCTGACGCATCACTCCCGCTTATCTTCTGATATCAACGTGCTGTCCAACAGGAAATGGACGATAAATGTAAAAATCATGCAGGACGGACTTTCCCCTTTTTCTCTTTTGGACTCTAATGCTCAATGTGTGACCTCGTTCTATCCATCACGCTTATATTCTACATGTGTTTCTTAAATTAAAAAGGCTATTGAGTTGTTCTTTTCTTACTCCTAATCAAGCATGAAGTCTGTGAGCTGTAGGCCTAAAGCTTTTATTGAACTAGATGTGTTAACATAATTAAAATAATCAATCAGCTTTTAGCAGCTCACTGCATTACTTTGATAGTGAAGAAAACTCACATATGTGATGATTGACGGGGAATATCTGGAAGGAAGTCGATTTTCTATGATTTCTGGGGATATTATTGACATTTTCTACTATTTATGATTTATCTAGAGGTATTGATCATAATGTAGGATTTCATCAGCACTTACTTCAGGAGAGCTGCCTCCTCCTCACGTTGTCTCCTGGCCTCTTCCTCTTGAAGCTTCTTCTCCTCCTCCTCCTGCTGTCTCTTTTCCTCTTCCTCTTTCTTCTTCTGCTCCTCCTCTGCTTTCTGCTTCTCCTCCTCTTTCTTTCTCCGCTCCTTTTCCTCCTTTTTTTTCTTCTCCTCCTCCAGTCGCTTCCTCTTCTCCTCCTTGCCCCCGTCTTTTTTGCCGCTCATTTTGGCCTCGTCTTTCGCTTTGTCTCGGGCGGACGCTGGTCTTCTGTCGCTATCTCTGTCCTTCTCCTTCTCCTTGCTGCTGAAGGTGCAAACGTCTTTCTCATCCATGTTTACTGAGCGCTTGCGTTCAGCAGGCATACTGCGGAAAGACCACAAAAAACGCTTGTTCGTGAAGGTCGTCTAACCATCTGCGTTGATACATATTCGGCCTTTTGCACAGAAAATATATTTAAACGTCTTTTCCGTTTGTCCTAATTCCTGCTAATTGTCTTTTCTCTTTTAGTTTGACATAAAAAGAGCTTAAACTTCAACCAACATCTATTACGGCATAAGGAAAAAAAGCAGCAATCTTTTCCTGCAGCAGATGGATTATTATATTATATGTATAACTGCAGTTTTAGTGTGATAAATTATCTCATGGTTCAAAGGAATTTATTTGCCCAAGAAAATAGAATGCGTGTGATCAAAACATCTATGTTTAGTAATCTTCCTTTTTTGGGGGGGAAAAAAGTTTAACACAAATGTTATTATCATTAAAACGTCATGTATTGATTTAGTCTACCTAACATATTGTTTGCTCTCCTTCATCTCTCTGTCAGCTTTAGTTTTCTTTTTGAGGAAAGCATGTTGATCTATGTCATGTAGAGACCTTGTTTCCCCAGATGTGTTAATGATGAATGTTTAAGACAAACGGAGGACTGAAGCGTGCGTGAGAACATTTTATATTGTAACAATAAACTAAATATAAAGCCCTTTTGATCAGCTGACTGTTTAAGAGATACCTGGTTCTCAAAGGACAGCAACGCTTGGAACACTTACATGTTATATTTTAAACTAGTTAGTAGTATTTAAAAGGGGGTACAAACAAACATCTCCAGCTGTAAAATGCAAAATAAATATTAATGCAGATATAATATAGCATATATTTTACTGCACAATACATACTGTTTAACTTGAGTTACTTCCATAATTTGTGCTTTCTGGAAGATTTTAAATACAGGACTTTTACCTCAAGTGTAGTAAGTTTACTTTAGTAAATCAATGGATTGCGTCTTGCAAAAGTAGCAAAATGGGCAGAATTGGAATAATAATATTAAGCAATATTAAAGTAAACGACAGAGTTCTCCAGCCGACAACACCTGTAACGTTGTCGTTCAACAGCTTCGTTAGCCATCTAGCTTAGCTGCCTAGCATTGGCTAGGAAGATAACTTCTTTAATGTACATGATTTGGCTGAAGAATCGGTTAAATGTTCACCTCAAAGGTGACAATCCGTTTCATGGTTTAGTTAATATGCTTTCAGGTTTTGAATGTGGACAGAAATTAAAACTGAAAAACACAAAGACATAAAGCTAGCGCTAGCATTGCTAATGCCGTTATCCACTCGAATGCACGATGTAAACAAACGTTTTGACAGCGTTAAACTGACAGCTAGCGTGTGTTTACTCCTAATCGTATAAACTTTACATAACATACACCCGAATGTCATGGTCAGCTTTTCTTATGTGCGTGCAAATATCACTATAATATAAAAATGTTTACCTGCTAATTGTAGCATAACAAACATCGGTCATTAGCGTTGGTTTCCGTGTGAACGTCAGAAGGACCTCCTAATGTTGGTTCTACAAATTTTGCCTTATCGAAAATATCATAATTAAGTTACACTAAGTTTTATTTTAGTACATAAGTACTTTTTGGCAATGATCTTTCATACCATTGCATTATCATTCAACCAATATTCAAAAATATATGTTTCGTATTTTTTTAAATCAGATTAAAACCGTATCACATCGACAGGCAATGTTTAGGGCAGCTACTACTGTAGCAGTCCGCAAAGAGGTTTGCAGTTCTCTTTTTTATTTGGCCACGAGAGGGCAGCGCAACAGGTTCTAAACAAAAATAAATATTTCTCTCAATTGAATTATTCTTTTAAATATAAATACCTAGAGGCGTAGAGTTGCAAACTGGTTTGGATTCTTTACACAATAACCAAAAGCATATTGTATAGACTTATTGATAGACGTTTTTTGTGTACAAATATTTATTTTAAGTTTTAAATCAAAACAAAATGGGAAGTAAAAAGTTTTAACTCATCGTTCGAACCATCAGGGGAAACATATTCTGTAAGTCTCTGTAAGCAAAAAAGCTTGCAGGTTTTCCTCCTCAGGGAACTTTGAGTATTTTTAAACACACAATCTCTCCTCTCATTCGAGCGCTCCCCTCTGCACAGACGGACTGTGTGTGTGAACAAGGCCGATACTGTTGCAGCTTTATTGACACACACTTCTTTTATGCCGTGGTTATAAATGAAACCACATTAACATTCTGTGTCTCCGTAGAACAAGTACCTGACTCACTACTAGAGGTCAACTCAAAGCAGGTACTTAAAACTACTTTATAGACCACGGCCTACAGTACATCCCGACCCGCACTCTCCGCTCTGCATGTGATAAACTGCTTGTTCCTCCTCACTGAGAGCAAAACATCTCCACTCTTTGCTGTCCTGCTCCTAAATGGTGGAAGGAGGTCTCTGAAGACACCAGGACCACAGAGAGCCTTCACATCTTCAGACTAAAGACACTCCTCTTCAGACTCTACCTCCACTAACACACTAACTGTAGCACTTACATTGGACTTATAATGGTTCTTATCTACAGGAAGTTGTACATCGGCTTATTTGATGAAATCACACTTTCTGGTTTCTTGTTCTTCTGAGTTTGTCTCGTTATGGTTGAATGTACTTATTGTAAGTCTCTTTGGATAAAAGCGACTAAATGACATGTGATGTAATGTAACAACATCTCAGAGGGAAATGTTGCTCCAGCATTCACGGTATACAGATTATTTAAATAAAAACTATATGGAAGCTCTCCCGTCAATCAGCGGGACACAAGCAGCTGTAAAGTTACTAGATCAGTTTTTATTCATCAGACTGAGAAAGGTTCAACAGTGAAGTGAAACGAGAGTAAATCTCAGCTCAATTCAGCCGAACACAGAATATCTGTCAAAGATGCTACAAATAAAAGACAAATAAGGGAAAGCATAAATCAATGAAACAAAGATCAAAAAACAACTATAAACTGGAATACTGAAATCATAAAAAATCTAGAAAAACAAGCATGTAATCCGTGAGAAGATCGTGAAGCAGGAATGCTGGTTTCTGCGGTTTGATCCTTCAGGAAAAAGTTCTGGTTAAAGACTCGACATTGTTTCACTCTTTAAATCATGCAAACTTTTTCTTTGGTGAATTACGGCGAGAGAAATCTGGGCAGACCGACAGTGAGGAGGAATAATACATATAGATCAAACAATATCAGATCAAATGTATAAATATCAAAAAAATCTAAGTGAGTTCTCTTTATTTATATTAATGCTCTCTGACTACTTCATTACTTTAGTCTCGTGGGGAATCAATTTATTCTCATCTACACTTAACAGACAAAAGTCGATCAAACGGTGTGAAATCATCTTCTCGCCTCGTGGGTCTTTTTGTTCAGTCTTCACTCATCAAATGAAAACATGTAAAGTCCTAAATAATAAAAACGTCATCAACAATACGGAAAAAAAACAACAACTCGTCAGGTCTTTAAGTCCGTAGCTTTTGATTGGACATGTGATTTGTACTGAGGCTCATAATTGTGTATTAACAAACACTTAAATAGTATTTGATTGGTTCTCAGGCGTCGGCTTGAAATAGTTGGATTGTTCGTGTGTATCATTATCAGTCATTAAAAAATCCTAAAGAAACTAAGTTTAGAAAAGAAAAAAACACTTTTCATTTAATAACAAATCGGCTACAGAAAGAGACACGACTTCCTTCAACCCGTCCCGCATGCAGAGTGGACGGAGGCCGGACGATGAAAGTGAGAAGACGACATATTTAGTTTTAGTTTAACTATTTTCCACTGGACTACAATCACTGTGTGACTAAATCTCTTTTGTCTTCGGCCTCTGCTTGCAGCTGCAGACTGAGATGTTTTTTAAATGGAGTTTGTCTCTTAACTTAACGATGACATAAACCTGTAGCCTCCTTTTGATCGGACCTCCGGGAGGACATTAAGCTTAAGAGTTTGACTCATTTCCCAGAAGGTTTCCGTGCTGCAGGAAGAGAAAGATGAGCTGAAACGTCCAGACGCTGCCATGAACAAAAGTACTCTCCTTAAAAAAATACTCATATTGAGATAAAAAAATACGTATAAAGTTGTCTCTGCAGCCGGCGGTCTGTGCCGTTGATTGACAGGTGAGCCGGCCTATGGTCTCTGAGCCAGCCGGCTTTTCCCCTCCTCCTGCTCCGCCAGCTTGAAGTGAGTGTAAGACAGGATACCAGCCAGAGTGCAGAGGATCCCCAGGGCCTGAGGGTGAGACGGGAGGACAGACAGACAGGTCATCGCGGGGGTCGGAGCCAGCAGGTTGTCGGTTTGGATCACCAGAGCAGCGCCGGAGGACTCACCTGGTTGAGGGACAGCGGGTCGTGGAACAGCAGGTAGCCTCCGATCAGCGTGATGCAGAATTTGAAATGACCGAACATGTTGTAGCTGCAAGGCGGAGTCAGGAGAGCAACAACACACATGGAAACACGTCTCCGCCTCCACAAGAAGACATAAAACCCCCACCAGAAGACACAAGGCCTCCAGAAAAAGACACAAGGCCTCCAGAAAAAGACACAAGGCCTCCAGAAGAAGACACAAGGCCTCCAGAAGAAGACACAAGACGTTCCTGAGTCCAATTGGACGATGGTGCCAATTGAGGAAATCCCTTCAGACGTGATTTCACAAGAGAAAAGAGCGACCTGAGAGCAGACGTCCTACACTGGTTCAGAGTAATGAACTAAAATCTAAAGAATGACCGAATCCCGACGAGGAAGTTCTCACAGGGTTTCTCACAAAGCCGTCAGACTTCGACTAAACAAGACCAGGAACCTTCCAAAACACCCAGAGAGAAAACTAAAGAGCTCTTCAAGGAACACCAGAAAGGTTCTTCTCCAAAAGCTTTTCGCTAAAGCTATCAAGTCCCCAAATAAACTAAGCCCTGAACTTCCCCAACAAGCTGAAAACATCAGTCAAGTAGGCTGTGAAATCGATTTAAAAAGACAAGAAAGCTCTTTAAAGCAACCTAAACTAGTGCAAGGCCCTCAAAACGTCCCAGGAACCCATGAACCCCCCAACTCCCCCAACCCTCTTCCAGAAGAACCCACACCAGCACAGAAGCACCCAGAACCTCCTCCTCGGGCTCTCTGGACATATTTAAGGATACGTGACTGCCGAGGTGTTTCCGATGATCCAGTAGATGGACAGGTTGACCAGGAACGCCACCACGCCCGAGAACAGCACCATCACCTAGGCAACAAGAGAGGGGGGAGGAGGCTGTTACCACAGCAACACGACAATGTATGAAACCAATAAAGCAAACAAATCATCAGGGCCTTCACAATAAAAGCCTGGAGCCAGTTGTCTTGAAAGACTTTACCAACATACGCATTGAAACTTGTGTGTGTATGTGTGTGTGTGTGTGTGTGTGTGTGTGTGTGTGTGTGTGTGTGTGTGTGTGTGTGTGTGTGTGTGTGTGTGTGTGTGTGTGTGTGTGTAACATTGAGTCCAGAGACCAGAGCAGGAAGTGACCACGGTCCAAATATTCCTTTGTCTCCAGTGAGCGGCTCAAACAGAGGAACGACGCAGAGGAGGAAGCCCGAGGACAGAGGAGCCTGAGAGGAGTCACAGTGTTATAATAAGACATCGTTACTTCAGCGTTATTACGGACACAACACTACAGTCACTAGATCATTATCATAAAACCAAGCACTCCCACATCGAGTCCCACGTGAGGTCTAAAAGTTCCAAGACAAGTTCCAGGTGAAAGGTCACCAAGACCCAGATAAAAAGCCATGAAGCCATAAAAGCAGGCGAAAGGACTCAGAGAGGAGGAGGGCAGCGTGACCCCTGCAGGGTTATCAGAAGAATCTGCAGTAGTACGACATCATAACTCCTACCTGATAGTACAGGAGCTGCAGGGGTTCACTCGCAGGTTCGAGCTCTCTCGCTCAGCCCCATATAGAGAAGAGGGGAGAGGGGGGTTTATTAATTGGTTGCTCCCACCATGTGCTTCTGTGTTTTTTCCCCCCCGAGTGTACAAAGTACTCACCACCTGGTAAAGAGACGTCACCAGAACGCCCAGCGCCGCAAACACGGTCCCCAGCAGGTTGAACCTCACGTCGAAGTACGAGTTCAATAACACCCCCAGAGTGATGGGCACCTGAGGACACGGACAGGGGGGGGGGGGGGTCACAGAAGACCCTCCCGTTTATCCGAGGCTCAACGCAAAGCATTTCATCTTCTCTCACTCAGACGGAATAACTAATTAGGCATTGGAATGGATAAAGAGCTGCTCACCAGCGTGAGTTTGATCTTGGTGGAGAAGGTCTTCTTGTAGTAGCTGGTCTGGATGAGGATGATGACGGGCGTGGTCATGGCCTTGGCCAGCTGGTACGTCCCTATCGAGTTGTTCTGCAGCGAGAGGTTGGTGAAGGCCACAAAGCCGCAGAAACTCAGCGCCAGCCAGGCGATGCGGCGCAGCGGCAGCCTCTTGGGAGAGAAGATGTCCATCTTCTGGCACAAGTAGAGTCCCAGCCAGGTGACCACGAAGTGCACCAGGGTGAGCGCCATGTTGGGGAAGCCGTAGCGGACGTAGATCCACTTGTTGATGAAGACGATGCAGATGGAGGAGAGCAGATTGACCAGCAGGCCGGCGACGATGCGCCGGTTGCCCGACAGGTCGAGCAGCGGCATGACGGAGCGCTGACGGAGGTCCTCAGAGGAGCTGCTCACGCTGCAGGAACAGGAAGTGATGCTTTGACACACGTGCACACCAATAACAACACATGCACAACGCTACCGTCACGCTTAATATTACTCTTCATCACCTCTCACGCACACACCACCTTTGGTTGAACTTTAATTATTTTCTTCACTCTTCTTGCTTTTGTGCTCTATTTTGCGCTGTTGACAACAGTTATTTATTTTAATTGTAATTGTTATTCAACGGTTAATTGGTGTGTATTTTATTGTACTGTTGTTCATAAGTATTGTCAAAGTACACAGCGATAAGTACTTCCCCATTTCAGGGTCACAATACTAACCTACATGCTTTTATCCTAATATAACACGTAGGAAGTATATCGTACATATATATTTAGCCAAGTAACATGTACTTGAGTTTGAGGTATTTAAAATTCTACTACATTTTATTGTACCGTGACTTTAAAAAGTCACTTTATCAACCAATATTTTTTTTGGTTTTCTAAACAGTATATTAAGTAATATAAATATAAAATGCAATTATTAAAACACTAAGATAAAGCAAATGTTATTATTATTATTAACCGTTATTATACATTACATGTCATTACTAACGGTTAATAAAGGTTATTAATGGGGAACTAGATGTCTTTTTTAAATAGTGCGTCTGTCTTTGCGTTTGTGTCTGTGTGTGTCTGTCTTTCTGTTTGTCGCTCTGTCTTTTTGCCTGTCTGTCTTTCTGTGTGTCTCTCTGTCTCTCTGTCTGTCAACCTGCCACCGAGACGAAAAAAGTTTACCTGGGGTCTCCATCTTTCCATCTGTCTTCTTCTCCTCGTCTCCCCGCCCCCTCCGGTGAGTTAGCGTCTCTCTCCCCCCGGCGGTCGGTGCACCGGACGCCGAACTTCCAACCGACGAAACTCCCGTAAGTGTGCCGGGGTTGGTCGTGATTCCTGGGTTAAGTGCCCCCCCCCCCCCCTCTCCGTGTGTTCCGGTTTCCGATGTGGGGGGTCAGCAATGCGCTCATCGAGCAATAGCAGCCGCTAGCGGAGCGGAGGAGGAAGTGCAGCGGGGCTCTTCTATGACGTCAGATGACGCGCTCTCAACGGGATTTGGACGTCCGACAGATTGCAGTACATGAACACGGACCTATAGGTGGCGGCATTGCGTCTCACTGCGTCGCGTCTACATGGAAATCACAGTGTGAAGAAGAATGTGTAAAGCGCACGAAGAAGAATCCTGTCAAGCCTCGTGAAGCGGGAATTGCAGCCCACTGTACCATGGACTGGTTAGTTAACTTACATTTCACAACATTCCAAACATGAGCCGTCTCAGACACCCGCAGTAACATGTTTTAGTTTTGTATGTCGAACCGTTGGCTCGTCGTTTATCCCGCTTGTGCGGCTACTTTGCTGCATTGGCTGTGTGCTAACGACACCGTGGGTAATCATTGCTGGTGCTAAGCGGCTAATCAGTGGTTAGTGCACTGTTGACATGTTTTAACCGGAGCTAATCGGGTGGTTCTCGAGAAGTTAATGGGAATAACTAGTCGATGCGTGTTATGGATTACCCAGAATCTAAATGAAATAAACCAATTACAGCTTTTTATTGTTGTGAGTTAGCCGAACTGCTGCTAAACTGTTATCAATGGACCCGTTGCTTTGCTTGCTTTCTCTCTGTGAACTTTCAAGTATTAATAGTTATTAGTTAAGTGATTCATATTTAATCATCATTAGTTATTAATCATAACCTCTTATGTTACATGAGAGAAAATCACCTGTGGTTCGAGCCCTCATGACACTAAAACACTCCTCAAACCAGAAGCAACCTTGAGAAATATACATTTCACTACCAAGTTTCACCCTCAAATCATCATGTAATGAACATTATATATATATAGATATCTATATATCTATATATAGATATAGATATATATAGATATATATATATCTATATATAGATATATATATCTATATATAGATATATATAGATATCTATATATCTATATATAGATATAGATATATATATCTATATATAGATATATATATCTATATATATATGAAAAATGTTTTCTAGATCTTACACCGCAATGAGATGTATGTAATAAACAAACTTAACTACAGAATATTGGGAGCTTCATCTGCTTTCATGTTAAAGTCACCTGATGCTTTGGACTCATTTGGGAAGAATGCAGCGGTGCTTTGTGGGGGTGTTTGCTGCGCTTGCATTGAGACACTACTGCGTTCATACTTGGGACTCCAAGGGTGAGAGCGAGCTGCTGTCTCCGGGTGGTCCGAGATGACTGGTGACGACCGGCCGCACGGAGGATGAAGAAGGTGGCTTGTATCCTTTCAGCTGGAAGAGAACGTTTTTTTAATCTTCTTCAGGTTAAATACGTCTCCATCTGGATTACATGAACACACCTGTTATTACGGATTATTGATTGATGTGAGAAAAAAAAAAAAAAACCGTATTCAAGTGTCAGAAGTGAGAGTGTTGTTTTCCTGACTGATGGTCTCAGTCCCGTCGCCCGGCAGCCCCGTCCTGTCCTCTGTAACGCCAGCGCGCCCCAGGACGAGGACCACGCCGGCTTCACTCTTCAGACAGGCTGGTACGACACACACACACACACACACGCACACAAACAATGATTATCTTCTCGTATCAAACATCTCCGGATTTCACTAACTCCCCACCCGTCTCTCTCTCTCCCGTTTCCTCTCAGTAACTCCCAGGGTTCCAGATGTCTCCTCCATTTTAGCTCCGGGAGGTCGAACGCCTCGATACACACACACACCCACAAACGCCTTCAGCGGTGGGGTGAGACGCACACGCACGCACACACACACTATGAACAAATGAAGTTGCTCATTTCATTTAGTAACATTTAAATGAATTCAAAATAAGCTGGTCTCCTTTTTATTTAGTTTGCATCCATCTTTGAGGAAAATTATATTTATGTGAAGTCAAAAGTTCTCCGAAGTCACTAGTGCCTTTAGCTTCTAATGTGAGTCTCACTCGATCACAGAACATGGGATCGCTCAATTCGGGGCTTAAAGCAACTTTCGGCGTCTCTCTGTCCAGAATTCGGATGACAGCGACTGGACCGACAGCGTCTACGTCTTCCCCACCCCGGGAATGGAGAACAGCAGCTTCTTCACAGACGACATCGCCAACCTGAGCTCCGCCCTGCTGAAGGAGGATGACCCCGGCGAGGCTGGTGAGCAAAACCAGCGCTCCCCGTTCACACTTTGCACGTTTAAGAGCACTGAAAGTAAATAACATGAGATCAAATATTTTTCAGCGGCTGCCAGTCTTTTTCCAGAATTCCTAGAGTCCTTCCTGAAGCACTCTTCCACTGCGGTGTTTGAGCTGCTGGAGGAGTACCAGCTCATCCTGCAGGACAAGGTAAGCTCTGCGTGTGATGTGTTGACTTCTGGCAGAGCCAGGCTACGCTACGCTAACAGGCTGTAGCTTCTTCTTTAGCACCAACACACACAAGAAAGTATTCAACCCTCATCTCACGCTCTCTAGGAAGCCGAATAAGCATAATTCCCAAATCGTTAAGTATTACTCTTAAGACGTTGTTAGCTTAGCATTGAGACTGAAGGAGCGCTCGGTTCACGCACTCGGCCCCCCCCCCCGTGTTTTAAGGTGGACGTTCTGCAGTCTGTGGTCCTCAGAGCGGGTCAGAACAGTAAGACGGCAGGAGTCCGCTGGCTGCTGCAGCAGGAGAACTGCTCCTGGAGACTCATCACCTCCCTGTACAGGTACCTGTCTGTCCGTCCGTCTGTCCGTCCGTCCGTCATCTATCTCTGGTTAACCACCTGTCTTGTCTCCGCAGGGACCGGGTCCAGTTGGAGCTAGAAGAGGACATTGTGACCGACATGGTGGTGAGTGACCTGAGGACGCCCACCGCTGCATTAATGTTGTGAATCCTGAAGCTGACGCACACACACACACACACACACACACACACACGATGAGGTTAAGAGGACGTTGTGTTTGTGTGTGAAGGTTCCCAGTGAGAGTGAGAAGGTCGTGGTTGAGCAGCTTTTTCAGCGGGATGCTGTCATACGTCAGAGTCAGGTAACACACACACACACACACACACACACACACACACACACACACACACACACGTAAATGTAGCACCCCCAACCTCTATAGTAAGTTTTCTAAGTGGAGAAAGAGGGGTGTTTGAGTTCGATTCTTTCTTTATTTCTCATCCACACGTGGTTAAAATGACAGGACCATATGTTGCCTGTGTGTTGCAGCTTGTTGTTGATTGGCTCGAGAGCATTGCCAAGGATCAGATTGGAGACTTTTCTGATAACATAGAATACTACGCCAAGAACGTCTGCTGGTGAGTTTTTAAAACCTCTCGTCTGCAGTCGAGTCTCTTTAAGATCATGCACTGAGGTTGTGTGTGTGTGTGTGTCTGTGTGGGTCACAGGGAGAACACCCTGCACGCGCTGAAGCTGAGGAGGAAGAGCGGCGCTGCCTTCTCCATCCCTCTGGTCACTGAGCTGGTGAGGCCCGTTACCACGCCAACAGAGCCTCGTCCCTAAGTGTGTGTGCGTTCACAGACCTGTGTGTGTGTGTGTGTGTGTGTGTGTGTGTGTGTTCAGGACCCAGACGCTCCCCTCCGGCAGCAGCGCCCGCTGGCGAACTTGGACAGAGAGGACGACGCCCGACTGCTGAAGAACCTGTTCACCCTGATCAGAGCCGGGATGACGGAAGAGGTAGAGGGACGGACAGCGATGTAGACAGAGGGACGAGGGAGGAGGTGGACGCTGGGGGATGTAGCAAGGAGGGCAACCTCTGTGGTAGCGCAGCAGAGGTGCAATATGAATAATGAAGCTCTATTCAGTAAAAATAATTCTGTTGCTCTCCTGATGGTTTTCCAATGTCTTTTTGGAAATCGGATCATCAGATCGTCCATTATTTGTACATTAATGAAAGGCCTCCAGTTGTTAAAGTACCCGATGCGCCAGCAGGGCACAGATTTAGGTCCATACTGTGTTTAAAGTGTGTGTGTGTGTGTGTGTGTGTGTGTGTGTGTGTGTGTGTGTGTGTGTGTGTGTGTGTGTGTGTGTGTGTGTTTAGGCCCAGCGGCTGTGTAAGCGCTGTGGTCAGGCCTGGAGAGCAGCGACTCTGGAAGGCTGGAAACTCTACCACGACCCCAACAGGACCTCAGGTGACCTCTGACCCCCAACACGGTGCATGACAGAGAGTCTCACCATGATGTTGCTCTAACCCCCCCCACCTCCCACCCTCTTTCCCAGTGAGTGCAGAGCTGCAGGCGGTGGAAGGAAACCCTCAGAGAGGAATCTGGAAGACGTGCTGCTGGAGGATGGCAGAGGAGGTAAGAAAGGCCTTCGCTGCCCCACTCCTACGTCACTCCGACAGGTGGAGGTGGAGCACTAACACGGAGTCTTGTTTTTCAGGAGCAGCTGAACCGCTACGAGAGGGCGATCTACGCCGCGCTCAGCGGGAACCTCAAACCGGTCAGCTGAGGAGTCTTAAGTTCTCTTGTTTTGTCCAAAATGTTCACATTGGAACCAGAAGATCACTTAAGATTCCATTGACTTTCATTCAGCAATTATCCAAATGGGTGAATCGTACGGTGACTTCCCTCCTGCTGAAGTGTGTGTTTGTGCGTCTTAGCTGCTGGTGGTGTGTGAGTCGTGGGAGGACTGTGTGTGGGCTCACTTCAGAGTGATGGTGGACTCGCTGGTGGAGAAGGATCTGATGTCGTCGGGTATGGCCCAACAGGAAGTGGAGATGCTTCCGCGGGAATACCTGGAGGCCAAGTACGACACTCGCACAGACACACACACACACACACACACACACGAATGCAGTAGTGCAATGACGCGGTTTCACTAAATTTTCCCTCTTTCTCTTCAGTTGGACGATGGAAAAGGTGTTTGAGGAACTTCAAGCCTCCGAGTTGAAGGTGAAACACACACACACACACACACACACACACACACACACACACTGAATGATTTTTCAGTCATCGTTGAGTCACATGACTGAACACACACACACATTAAAACTGGCTTTTCTGTGTTTAGAGGGTGTTGGAAGAGACAAAAGAACATTACCACGTCATCCAGAAGTTTGTCATTCTGGGAGATCTGGACGGTGAGACCCCTCTGACCTTTGACCCCTGAACAGGAACTACATCAGTGGAAAACCAGACGGGGAAAAAATCCCATTATTATTCTTAATCCCGTTTGGGCCGACGTGCCCTTAAAACCCCTCCTGACGCTAAATTTCTCTCTCTCAGGTCTGCTGGAGGAGTTTTCTGATTGGCTGACAGCCTCTAAGCCCCTCCCCTCCCACATGCTGCGTTTCATGACGCACCTGCTGCTGTTTTACCGCTCTCTGGGTTTGGCTCTGAAGGTGAAACATAACAAACAAAATGATCACATTATTATTATTATTATTGCAAAAAAGTTACTAGAAAAAAGTCCCAGTTCTCGATAGAAACACGACTCTTCATGAATCCTTTCTGACTTCTTCTGGTGTGTTTTGGCATTTGGAGGTTGTGTTGTGTGTTTTTAAACTGATCCAAGAACAGTTCTGACCCGTCGCTCTGCCTCTCTCTCTCTCCCCCCCCCTTAAGGAGGAAGTGTGCGTGGACGTCCTGAAGGCGTACGTCTCCCTCCTGATCCGGGATCAGCAGACGGAGCTCGTGGCGAGCTACGTCAGCCAGCTGCCAGCCGACCTCGCCACCGTCCAGTACGCCGCCTTCCTGGAGACGGTCAGCCAGCCGGAGCTGCGTCCTCGTTGCCTGCAGCTCGCCACGGACGCCGGTGAGACGCAAAAACCACAAAAACTAAACACAAATCACGTCGGTTTGATTGCGGACCGACTACTGACCCGCCGCCTGTGCAGGTCTGGATGTTGCCGCGGTAACCAAGCTGGTGGTGGAGAGTGTGCGGGAGAGCGACGCCACAGAGTTCACGCACCACAACCAGACGCTGGAGATCGGGACCACGAAGGTACGGAGCCAAAAAACACGACATTCGTCGATATATAAAAATAAACTTTTAAATGTACACGGTTTGTGGAAGAGTGGGTGGAGTTACTGTGATGCTGCGCTCTGATAGGAGGACCTAAGGAAGATTGACGTCATCGATTGGCTGCTTTTCGACCCCGCCCATCGATCAGAGTCCCTGAAACAGTCCAACGCCATAATGAGGAAGTTTCTGGGTAATTTATTCGTCTCGACTGTCTCGTCTCCCTGTCTGAGGACCATGATGCATTGCGTCAATCTGCCCCCTCTCAGCGCTGCAGAAACACGACGCAGCCAAGGCGGTCTTCTCTAAAGTTCCAGAGGATTCAATGAGGGAGATTTACTGCCAGTGGTCGGAGGTCGGTCAGACCACGCCCCTTCCTGCTGAGGACGAGAACGCCATCAGAGAGCACCTGTGTATCAGAGCCTACCTGGTCCGTCACCTGACTCTTAGATAACAGCCACAGTTGGTTACCATGGCTGGAATATTTTAATTTAATGTCCATTTAATTAAATTAGGGTTTTTTTGTTCTTTAAAAAGTCTTTATTCTTTATTTTTTTTAAATTAGGAGGCTCACGAGGCGTTCACTGATTGGTTCAGCCACAGCAGCTCGCCCCCCCAGAAGCCGGCACCCGCCTCCGAGGCCAAATTCACAGAGCGAGTGGCCAATGAGATGAGAGAAAAGGAGTACCAGGTACACACCCCCTAATGATAGTTTTCATTTCCATTAATAGTTAATGTACACATTTAAAAAGTGTGTGTGTGTGTGTCAGGCCGCTCTGTCTTCGTGGTCGTGCCGTCTGGACGTCCTAACGGAAGATGTGAAGGAAAGAATCTACAACGTGCTGCTGTTCGTAGACGGAGGCTGGATGATCGACAACAGAGAGGTGATGGTTCACTGGAGAACCGATCTCCTTTTTCTCTCTCAGGGAACCGAGAACCTTTCCAGTACCTAAAGGAACCAGCTGCTAAGAAAAGGCCGATTGTGGTCCTGGTTTAGCTCCTCTGGTTCCTTCGTACCAGGATCTACAACGGGAGATTCTGTCTGAGTTCTCTGTATCTCTGCACTCATTAATGCACATATTGCGCTCTGTGAGGACTAAACTCTGCCTCCAAATGTTAACATCACCCCAGCACCTCTTAGAAAAACACATGAAGCCTTATTAGTGCTCAACGAGATAATCAAACTCCAATAGAAGGCTACTTACAGACACAACTTGATTGCTGTGTTCCTAAACGCGTCGTTTGGTGCCTTCAGGACTCCGAGCCGGATCCGGAGCGCGGCCACCAGACGGCGGCGTTGCGCTCGCTGTGTCTCCCCCGCCTCACCTTCCTGCTGCTTAGCGTGCTGCAGAACTCCTCCAGGCACCAGGAGGCCCTGCGCCTCGCTGACATCATCTCCTCGGACCAGCACCGCCTCTACCAGGTGACCGAAGAGACGCCATCGGATCCGTACGTTGAGCGCATGTTGTTTTATTTATTTATTTATTTCATGTTTTTTGTTTTCGCTCACAAATTCAGGTTTTCTCCAAAGAGGAGCTGAGGAGATTCCTGCAGAAGCTGAGGGAGTCGTCGCTCGCTCTGCTGGACCAAGGACTCGACCCGCTGGGCTACGAGCTGCAGCCATGAACACACACACACACACACACATCGGTGTTTGAACCACTGTTGTCTTTGTTCATCTTTTTTTGCTAAATAAAAGCCTGTTTTCCTATAGTGGTTGTGTGTAAAGTTGATTTAAGTGTCTTAATGATGCTGGTTATAAAGAGCTGTTGATGAGCTAAACACCATCACAAACAGTTAAATATTGTATAAAAAATTGGAGATTTCAGTCATTTAAATTACAGTAAAAAGTTAATATAGAGAATCGGAGGGAAAGATAAGTAATGTTCATGAATAAAGTCAGAATTTCTTAAAGAAAAATCTATTACAATATTTCTAGAACAAGTGCCATATTTTCCTAATGTTAATTGAAAAAGTAGTACAATATTAGGAAATCATTGGTGGTGAAATGGCAGAAAGTGGGGAGACAAACAGGACATTTGGGCTTTGTTTAAGATATTGTAATTATAAACTCAAGTGTTCTCGCTTGTGTAAAATGTAGATAATAAGAACACATTTCAATATTCAATAAATTACTTCATTCTTTTTTACCAAAAAGTTATTTTAACGAGTCACAAAGAATAAATGGGTTCATTATTATGAGTATAATTAGCTCCACGCTGTGGCGCAGTGTTGGTGTTTGGCCACTAGAGGCGCCACGCGCACAACTGTCCACAGGATCAATCGATTCCATCCGCTGTCATAAGAAACTCCGGTAAACTGACCGATAGACGACGTCTACGGATATTAATTGATATTCATTAGCGCCTGAGGTACGTACTATATACATACAATGTTATATTAAGCGTACATGTCATTACGTCGGGATGATATTACCACAAAAGCAGTAGCACAAGTTAGCAGGAGGCTAGCAGCGTGCTAGCGGGCCGCGCAGCCTCGTGTTTTCCTCGTTGAATTGAGCCGAAACCGACTGAGCCGCGAGCCGGCTGCGTTCTGCTAACGAATTAACGGTTACAAGACACATTGTGCCCGTGAAGCCTAAACTAACTGCTTTTAACAATGTTCACTCTCGGCTCGGGCTGTATAGCCCTTTACGTATTGCTTTAATGCAGGGAAACGTTAGCATGTTTAATGTTTAGACACACCTGTCGTTGCTTGCTAGATGATTCCTAATTTATTCATTATTGGCATTGCGAAGTATACCAGAATTGCCTTAATGGAAGTTATGCATTGTTTTAAATGCAAGTACGTGACCGTTATATTGTTTGCGTTGTAAAGTTGTAACGTTTACGTCTAAAATTGGCAACCAAAATATAGTAGCGGCTACAATGTTTTCCTAAAAGACGTCAGTTAAGTTCGCATCAGCAGACAAACCATCGAAAGCGAAACCTTTTGTACGAAACGTAATTCATGTACTGCTTTTACGTCTTTTTGTTAAAATGGAGTTTCGCCGATTAATCCACGTAACGTTACACGTGTAAAAAGCATAACGTTAACTTATTTTAATCTCTGAATGGCGAATGGGGCTAAACGTGACGTCATCTCGGTCATAGCTGCTAGTGGGTCGACGTCACAGGGCCGAGCGGGACGTGCCCGGGCACGTCTCCTTCCCTCCGCGCGCTCACGTGCCGCTGTGACCCGCGTCTGTCAGCTGGAGCCTCTGTGACTGCTGCCCGGACACATTCACCCTGAGCAGCGGGGGGCAAACGGGCCACAAATACACACTTTGTTGTTGTTTAGTGGAGTTTGAGTTTTTACCCAGCGCATATATAATATATATATATATATATATAATTCCCAACTCTACTCTAGAAGTACTTTTTTAAACTTATAGAATTGACTCCAGATGTATTTGCGTATTCATCTTTCAGTGATGAGTCACAACCTCCAGGTGAAGAAATGTAACTAGAGAACACATAAAATCCAAATTCATTATTTACGTTTAGTACGTTTAATAAATGTTATCTCCCCTGTCTTTATTTTTCTATAATATTTCCCCATGTAGCATAATAACTTAAACTTAAAATATCTAGTTTTAGGTGTTAATGTTTCACATGAAATGGTCATCAAACAATCAATGAATGAACATAAACATGTTTCATATAATCTGTGCTTCAGCACTAGTTCATGTTGGTTAGTTTCACTAGCAGGTTGTCTCAGGGATGACTCATCCTGGACTAGTACCGGCATGTCTGCACACAGCTGACTGATTGAATCAGCTGTTCCTCTCTAACACGCCTGACTCACCACAGCTGACTCGGCCCTGGAGGGCCCTGTTGGGCCCTGATAGGCCCCAGCTAGGCCAGACCAGGGCCACCTAGGCTGGTCTAGTCCTGACATGTCTGAGCAGGTCTATAAGAGCATGACGCTGCTCTCTGATCCTCTCTGAATGCACTTTGTCTGTACTTTGCACAGGATGAACAGCTGATTCTCTCCACTCTGAATACACAGTAAGACTTTTAACTTCTTTCTGATTTATATCCGTTCATTCCTATTTAACTTATTTCTGTTGTGGTTTTGCTTTATGGGGTCGTTTTAAAGGCTCATGCAGAATAGTGGAGCACAGAACCTTTTTAAATGATGTGTCATTTTCTTGGCACACATTTTTCATATTGTTATATCTTTGTGATGAAATGGCTGTAGCATTTATTTAATTAAATTCTTCCTGCCTGCTGTAAGCAGTGGAAATGTTTTATTTGTCCACTGTAAGCTGCTGTAAATTATAGCAAAATAATTTTTCGGGTTAGTGATGTTTTGCGTTGCGATCATTTGGAACGGAACATATTGTTTTCCACAATCTCCTCACGTTCTCATGGACGTTAAATAGTTTGCTACGTGGAACTGAGCACCAGTTTGTGTCTTTTATGTGCAGAAACAAATCCGCTTCACAATGTCTGCTGACGGGCTGAACAGCGACACGGCTGACGACGACAAACTGGTGAGAGAAACTGGGTGACGGCCAACTTTACTGGTTAACTGGTTGTTTCAGGGTTTCACTCCGAGTGTGTGTGTGTGTGTGTGTGTGTGTGTGGTCAGGTCCAACCAAAGCTGGAATTCAGGACGTTGCTGCACCAGGCGGGAGCGACTAAGGAGGTGTTCACCATGAAGGAGGTTGGTTTCTGTGGTGGAAACTCCAAAGTATCGTAATCGAGTAGTTTGTGCGCGTTGTGGAGGCGTCATTCAGCGTCTCCAGCGATGCATCTCACTCTCTCTCTCTCTCTCTCTCTCTCTCTCTCTCTCTCTCTCGCAGGTGATGTTCTACCTGGGTCAATACATCATCCTGAAGCAGCTGTACGACCAGAAGCAGCAGCACATCGTCCACTGCTCCCAGGATGCACTGGGGCGGGTTCTGGGGGTCGACAGCTTCTCTGTTAAAGAGCCACGGTGAGAGAAAGTCAACATGTTTGTAATGTGAAGCACCTTGTTTTGACATTTTAATATTCCTCCTGAGAGCTGACGGAGGAGTTTTTCTGTGTTTCAGGGTTTTGTTCGCGATGATCACAAAGAACCTGGTGGCCGTGAAGAGCCAAGGTACAGCGACTCTTCCACCCTTTAGACCACGTGTCGCCACGTGGTTTGGATCTTCTACTCGCTTTGACTGCCATGTTCACAGTCACACCGACTAGTTAGTCAACGTTCGCATTCGATGATATAAGCTACAGACTTTAAAATGAGCTACAGCACAATAAACCTAATGAGGAAACGTTTGGATTTGTACAAAACTACCAGCTTCTCCCTCTTTTCTTTCTTTAGAGTCGCCTGCGAGCTCGAGTGAAGCGGCCGGCGCCTCTCGGACCGAGGTACCGTCACCATGGTTCTCTTTACAAAACGTAGACATGAGTCTGTTTCCTTTTTTAAAGATGAAATACTTTTAGGGTCACTTCAGATTCAAAGATAAAATGTCTTAATATTTCAACGTGCATGAAGGAAAGGAAAAATATTTTAATGCTTTAATGCCAGTTTTAAGGAGATAATACTTAATAACTATAATTATTATACTACTAAGAACTCGTGGCACAAACTGTCACTTTACTATTAGGAGGCCGAATCAGAAAGTCACTCACCAGAAAGGAGGGGGAGGAGGAAGAGGAGGAGGAGGAGGAGCTTCCGGAGCAGCAGCGAGCCAAGTGGCTCCTCAGGGCCCTCGGACTCCTTAGAGGGAGACAAGAAGGAGTCAGAGGAGGAGTCGGGGGAGGAAGACGACGACGATGATGGTGAGGTGGAAGGCAGGAAGAGGAGGAGGTCCGACAGCTACTCCCTGACCTTCGATGAGAGCCTGTCGTGGTGTGTGATCGGCGGACTGGCGAGCGTACGGGACCGACACAGCAGCCAATCATCAGACTCCCACAGCACAGTGAGGGCGCACACACACACACACACACACACTCACTGGGTTTGGCTGATTTAGTGTCTGTTCGTAACACCTGCTGTGTGTGTGTTCATAGTCTGGGAGGTCGGAGGTCACCGCCGCAGCGTCGGACTCTGACAGCGATCACTTCAGCGTGGAATTCGAGGTGGAGTCGGTCGACTCGGACGACTACGACGAAGACGATGCGTCTCTCTCTGCGGACGACCAGGTAGCCCCCCCCGTCTCTAGCTCTCCTCACGTTGATGTCATCAGTCCAGAAGTAAACGTAAATTTGTCTCCAGATTTACGAGGTGACCATTTTTGAGGCGGAGGAGAGCGACTCCTTCGATGAGGACACGGAGATCACCGAAGCCGTGAGTCTACACACAATAAACCGCACACCTATTGCATATACTAGGTTTTAACTGTGTGTGTGTGTGTGTGTGTGTGTGTGTGTGTGTGTGTGTGTGTGTGTGTGTGGTTTCCGTCTCAGGACTACTGGCGCTGTGCCAACTGTGAAGAGCTGAACCCGCCTCTCCCCAGGAACTGTCTGCGCTGCTGGGACCTCCGCAAGGATTGGCTGTCTGAGGTGTCACTCAATGTAACAAAGCCCGCCTCCTCCAGCCCCAATGTCCTGCCCCCAAAGCCAACTGACCAATCGGCAGGCAAAGACACTCATGGTAGGTGGGGGACACTTTACACCTGATGAGACAAAGTGTTGTTTCATTACTTGTCATTTTTTCAATGGCAATTTACAAGTAAACATACATTTTTCAGGAAAAAGTACAATATCAAATGAATATAAACAGTTGTTGGGTAAAATAGAAATGACACTACTGTTAATCTCTAATGCAAAAAAGAAAGTTTTAAAGTTTTAACCCCTAAACCATCGACGTGTCCCCTGAAGGTTCCGATGTCGAGGAGAGCGACGGAGTAGACGTCCCGGATGGGAAGAGAGTTAAAACCCCTCCCCCTTCGCAGTGCCACTCAGACTCCTCCCTCTCCTCCTCCCAGCCGTCCTCCACGGACTCCCAGGAGTCCTGCCCCCCCCCTCTTCCCTCCGCCGCACCCAAGCTGGACTGCGGCGCGGCGTGGCAGCTGCCCGAGTCGTGTTTGGACCCGTGCCTCATCTGCCAGTCGCGGCCAAAGAACGGCTGCATCGTGCACGGGCGGACGGGTCACCTGATGTGCTGCTACGTCTGCGCCCGCAAGCTGAAGAAGAGGAACAAGCTGTGCCCGGTGTGCCGGCTGCCCATCCAGTCGGTGGTGCTGACCTACGTCTGCTGAGACGCAACATTTACCAAAGCGAAAGAAGTTTAGTTCCACTCGTCTGGCACGCGTTTGCACTTTCTATCCCTCTTAGTGTTGTTCATTAAAGACCCAAAACCAACAATTCTCATTTATCTTTATTTCCACTGAAGACAAATCTGTGGAAGTTCAAACAATTTATTACTTTAGCGGTTTTATTTCTCTCATGTGGTCCCATCAGGTGTTATTGGCCTGAACATCTGGAAGCATCGTTAATTTGCAGTATAGTGATGTTTTAAGTTTTATTAACATCCACTATTGCGTCAATAATTATATAAACATTTTAAACATAAGATACTTCCATCTAAATGAAATGTATTAGTTAATGCATAAATCTTTTCCATAGCGTGACTTTAGATACGATGGACCCGTAAAGAGTCTTCAATTTTTATTGTATATATAGAAGTTGTGTGTAGTCTCTTTATTTGAACAAAATGTTCTTGAAATTACAGCCAGAGATCCTCTTATTTATATCATGTATATTTAAGCAGAGACTTTTTCAATGATATGGATATAAGAACTATATTGTTTTATAGATTTTCTGTTGCCAAATAAAGTTCAATTTGTGGCCTGTTATTTATTTGGATTTGATCATTTTTATAGAATCTTTATTTAAATAATTGCATTAGTTGGTGTGCAGTTAAGAGGATGAAAATGAATCGTGTACAAATACTGCCTCGTCTTGGAGAACACTTTCAGAAATACTGTGATGAGTTTATTTGTATTCTTTTGAAACCGAACATCAGGACAATTAATCACTTCAGAATTGAATCAACAAATTTGAACTGTGAAAATCCACAGCTTTGATTGCTAAATATGAAATGCAGTTATTTATTGTTAATCAATGGGGGCAGTCAAATGATCATATTTTTTATTAACTAGTTGCCAATCAGACAAACTACAAAAAAAGTCAAGATTTAAGAGTAAAAACTAGGGATTTAAATTTTAATAAACTTGTAAATCAGCAGCTCGTTATTTCCTAATTACAAGTCAAAATAGAAAAAATACAAAACGTTCTTGTGCATATCTTTACATGTAATCAATCTGTCGAGGGGATTTATGAGGAAAACTAAAGGAAATTGTGAAAAACACAGGGTTTAAGCCCCGTGACGTTAAACTTGGGGGCAAATGAAAGAATGACCACCAAGAAGCTCCTCCTCGCTTCAGGCCCCAGCGTGAAGAACACAATGCTCCTCCTGTGAAGCATCCACACACAAACAACTCAAATCCACCGTCAACAACAAACAGTCGCACAAAATCTGGGTTCACATGCCGTGAAATTCTGCTTTTGTTTGTTCAGAAAAACCTTTGAGTCCCTCAAATTGTGACGGGAGGAGAAAAGGAAAGAAGTGAAACACAAGACTTTCCATTTGTATAAACATTTTATTGGATATTTGGACTTTCTAGATTGTTTTTTTTCATTTATTATTTTGTCCACTTCCTCACAAGAGTTACCGATTTGGGGTCCAGACCAGTAAAGACCAGTAGGTTCCTGGTTGAGCCGTTTCTAAAGTCCACACTTGATCCAGTTCAGAAACAACAGAAGACACAAGCTTCCTACGACGATTACTAGAACAAACCCAACGTTACACAACGGCATGAACACATTTAACCCTCATGATATCAGAGGCTCCAATTTATAGTTTTAACATTCAAAACCTCTCAAAATTCGTTTTACTTTGCGCCTCTAAAAGCTTCATTTCAGTTAGTTTCCTGTTTACCTCTGTACCCAAAATAAAAGAAACATCCGCCATTCACAATTCAGTACAAGTTTGAATTAAATTTAAGATAAATCCTCCAAAATCTGGACACATTAGTCATTGAAATCCCCGCCGGCACTAAAAGGATCCGACGAGTTTAAAAACGTCTCTTTTTAACACTTTGGCGCCTTCTAGTGGCGAAGATTGCAGCCAACTGAAACTTTAAAAAGTTGAAGTTTGAAGACAACAGATTTAACCCTAAATAAAAATGTATCAATCTGCATTTCTATCAACAGATTCAGAGAAAATAAGGTCACGTTACTGAGTGAGCAGAATCGTTCCCGCCGGCCGCCTCATTTCCACCAGCGTCTGTCGCTCAAACGTTCCTGCGATTACCGGAATAGAAAAGAACGATAAAAATGAAACTGAAAACTAAGATAACGACTCAACATTCAACAACCGTGGCTGCCAACTGTTGGCTAATGGTTAGCTAGCGATACGTTGAAATCCTGCTAACAATCACAGGTCTGTGCCTTAAATAGGAGAAGCTAACTGTTAGCCAAACATACGTTTAATGAGTTAATGTCTGAATATTGAGCTAGCTTAGCATGAAGACGCTTCCCGTCTTCATGCTAAGCTAGGCTAACCACATTGTGACCAGCTCTGAATTACAAAACAGGCTAAGCAGACGGTTCAGCAACACTTTCCATCTTTTGATGAGTGATTAATTTAAATTACAGGAGAGCGCCAATTTGAGGTATTTTGTGTTAATGAAGTGGAATACAAATGTAAGTAGTTTTAGGTCAGATTTGTCTGCTGAACTCTAATAATATTTTGTGGAGTAAAACCCGTCTTAAGTTAGACCTGCTCATTTGTGCTGCTGAGTTTAGATTTATGTCATTTATTAGTTGCGTTTCTGTTGTTTTTATGCTTCAAGTCATGATTGAATCTAGTGGGTTTGGATTTTTTGAAGTTGTGGTCGATAATTAAAGAGGAGATGACGTATTTGCACTCTGAAGTGCAGACGGACTCGTTAAGGCACTCGGTGGAGGAACACGTATAAAGATATATATTTGAATCAAATGTCTCATATTTAACAGATTCGCAGCTCTAATGTCAGAATAATCACTGCACGCTGCCGCTTTGATTCGAACCCGAGCAGAACATGAAGCACGTCTGGGCTCAGAAGGCAAAGAGGGACGTTGAACCTTCTCAGTGATCAATTACTTTGTTTGAACTTCAGAGATTTTGTAGATTCTTCATAGCTCTGCTTTTGGTTATTTAAAGTCTCCTTGACATGTTTGTGCAGGTTTCATCAGGACAGGAAGTCAAAGCTGCACTTTGTAGTTAGACGTGTTCATGAGCATCATGAAGCATTTAATGTGCAGAGGAGGAGACCATCAGGAGACCTTCAGGAGACCTCCAGGAGACCACCAGAGTCTACTCGAGGCTTTTCTGTGTGCATCATGAGGATTTAAAACAGCAGCAAACTAGTTAACACAATAAAGATAAAACTCAATTGTTTTCACGGTGCATGTATTCAAACAGCATTCAAACGTTACAATGTGAGAAACTGATCAGAACACTTTTAGAGGATTTATGTGCGACTAGATTTCGATTCATGTCAAAATGGAAAAACAATGAATTCACTAAATAAAGGCAACTTATAGTGGTTTAGCTTTAGCTGACGGCCTCGTTTTATCATTTCGAATCTTCCACAGAATGAAGTTTCCGATGTTCGTACCTCAGAAGCAGAAAGCGCTTCACTGGACGAGTTTACTCGACTCATCAGAAGTGCATTCAAACGTGTTTAAACACATTTAAACACGTTTAAACGCGTTTAAACACGTCACCAGCGTAACTTTGGGTTTATTTGAGGACCTTTTGGAGTCTTCAGAGGACACTTGGGCTCCACTCGTGTGTACAGAAAACAAACGCACCTTCATACGCGTGAAGGTATTTGCAGAAGTGGCGTCGTACAGATTATAAAAACAAAATCACACTTTAACATAAAAGTGACCACGTGATCAGGAAGTCGTGGTTTCTTACACGCTGATTAACACTTAACGGGAAGAAGTAAGCGAGCGGCTACTAGGAGACCACGTGTGAGGAAAGTTCACGGCGTTGTGGTTTGATTTCATGAAGTCGTACCCTGAATTCGTTCCCATCAGCCCGAGCCGACGCCCCCGATTGGCCGGCCCGGCTTTTCATTGGTCGATCTGAGAAGCTTTACTTCCAATACAACTCCTCCAAAAAATGCAAAAGGAAAAAGGCCGAGTGGACACATGAGGGAGGTTTGCTGATGTCTCATCACTCTTCGTTCTTGCGGGAGCTTGTTTTCATCTTGAGGTTAAATCTTGATTTGTGGGGGCGAAGCCGAAGCCACGTCCTCGCGTACCGCTGCCAAAGAACGCTATGATGTCCCTCATCGCGCTCGCCGTCTCGCATCCCAGCAGGAGGGGGGGGGGGGGAAGTGGAAGTCCTCCTCACGTCCGCTTACACCATATTTCAACACTTGATTTGTCCAAACTCAACCCCCCAGCCCCTCGTTAGAGTCCCGTAACCCCTCCCTCCTCCAGTCCTTAAATGGTCAACAGCCTCCTGTCGCTCCACTGGCCCCTCCCACTTCAGTCCTTACACGGTCAAACATTCGGTAGAGTGCGCGAGCTCGAGTCCTTAAATGGAAAACCACAGTCTGTGATTCAGTAGCCGCTAGCTCCTCCCCCCCGACCTCCTCCGCAAGGTCAAAGGTCAGAGGTCGGTGACCTTGTTCTCCAAGGCGGCGGCGATCTGTTGGAGGCGGAGCGTGAGCTGCTTGTTCTGGGCGGCCGGGTCCTCGTCCAGCGACTGGATGATCTGGAAGGACGTAAAACATTTACGAGGACCCTTTTTCAGCGATAGATTTAAACTTAATTAAAGTGAAAGAGGCGAGAAAACTAAAATAAAAAGTCCTTTACAAGAAATATTGTGTAATCGGGTGAAAGAGGCGTTTCTCACCACGTCGTAGTACTTGCTGGCGTACTGGTACAGCTGGTGTAACGCCAGCTGCGTGTTCAGCTTGTCTGTGTGCTGCTGCAGAGACAACGGTCATTAAACACTACGACAGCATCAACAGAACAGAACTCAAGTACACACAGTACTGCTAACGTGTGTTATTCACACGTCGTACCCTGGACACCTCGGCGAGGTGAGTGTTCATGTCCTGGTCGCTGACCGGAACCATCTGTCGGATGCCTTTGTAGTAACTGGAGCGCGCACACACACACACACACACACACACACAGACGCACACACGCACACACAGAACATTTTTAGTAAAAGGTTAAAGTGTGAAGTGTGTGTCGTGTTCATCGCGTTCACACTCACTCGTCCACCATCTTCTTGTAGGTGGAAATCTCTCTTGCGTACAGCAGCTTGTTGCTAGGCGACTCCTGCAGAGACAAAGACAAGCGATAAAAGACGGAGATCTTTCCACAGGGGAGAAATGTTAATTCAGCATCAAAGGGATCCGGGGATCTTTGTTTTAAGGCCAACCGGAAGTGCTCATGGAACGGTCCTGCATTGAAATCATTTTCAAAATAAAAGTAGAAAAACATCTTCAAAATAAGTTGAAATGCAAGAGTGTGAATAAACATCTGGATGGGTTAAAATAAACTGAACGTAGATAACGCCCCCCCCCCTCCTGGTGTGAGGGAACCCACCCGGCTGAGCTTGTGCTCCGTCTTGGTGCAGGCGTCCATGAAGGTCTGAGAGATGACGTGCAGCGACGCGTCCACCACCTCCGTCACGTGGACGTCAAAGACGTAGTGAGGGTTCCTCAGGATGGTCACCCAGAACCTCAGAGGCAAGCTGACACACACACACACACACACACACGTGGTTAAAGGAGTCTTCCTGCTGACCCACTTCACACGTTTCCTACCTTCGTCATTTCATCTCTTCCTCCACAGAGCGTAACCGCCGTCAATAATGCAGCACAAACCGCGTTAATATTTCATTGGCCGACCCGTGCGTGTGCGAGAGAGATGATTGACAGGCCGAGCTCGAGGCCAGCGTGGAGCCGCCCTTTGTGTCCGTTTCCTCTCCTCGTCTTCATCACTTATCTGTCCTGAAGAGGACGGCCAATTAAAGCGGCTTTTATGTCAACGACAACCTAATTACACTCTAGTTAAGCTGAAGAGGACACACACACACACACACACACACACACACACACAGACACACACAGCTGGAGAAGCAGGTTGTGTCTCCAGCTGCTGTTGGATCAGTGACATCATGAGGCTGTTTAAAGGTTTTAGTCTCCCACTGGTACGTCGACCTGATCTAAACAAATACATGTGTATATATTTATTTATTTATTTATATCTCCACCTGTTGGTCTTCCAGATGTGCAGCGTCTCCTCGTCCACGTTGTCGTGTCTCTCCGCCTGCTCGTCCAAGAAGTCGAAGAAGTATTTGACGGCCGGAGGGACGACGGTGCTCGAACACAACACGCTGCGGAAGAAGTCGTCCACGAACTGCTGCAATGTGCCCTGTAACACGCACACGCACACGCACACGGTCTGAGGAGCAGGTCGTATCTACAGCAGATCTCATTTGTAAACTCAAGTCTGATGCGCGGAATACCTCGATGTTGTACTTGTACTCGTGTACTCTGTTGACCCACCTTGACGGACAGCAGCCGGGTCAGGTAGATCTCCGTGATGGCTTTGGTCATCGCTTTGTCCTTCATGCTGCCTCGCTTCGACTTCCCATAATCCATCTCATCAGCCGGACGCACCAGGTGGTACGTGTTGTCCTCCTCCAGCAGGGCGTTTTCTGTGAGGGGGCGGGACCAGTAAGGCTCAACTCACAGAAACACCTCGGCACCCACAACAGGAAGCGAGAGCCGGTTCCACAGTAATAGGTGTGTGTGCGTGTGTGTGTGTGTGTGTGTGCGTGTGTGTGTGCGTGTGTGCGTACTCTCTTCGTAGCTGTCTTGGTGCTGGTGGAAGGACCTCGTGTGCAGAACTCTGGACAGAACCAGCGTGGCGTTGTCTCGAACCTGGAGACGGAGAGAAGAAGCCCTGAATGAGCCCGATGCTCCACAGACAGTTATAGGAGGGGGGTCGTGTGTGTGTGTGGGGGGGCGGGGGGGGGTCTCACGTTGTAATGAGCCAGCGTGTTGAGTCTCTTCCAGCGTCCTTCCTGTTGGGACGTGAGGTCCATGTCGGACAGGATCTGCCCCGTGGAGCCGGGACGCCACTCTGTGGACGCCGCGCAGCGCGTGTGAGTCAATAAATGTCGTGTATGAAGCGCAGCTTAATAAAGTCACATCATCATCAATGTTGTCAGCGCGTGACTTTAACCCCCCCAGGTCACGTGGGAGCCGCTCTCACCCAAAGCGACGCTCTCCACCACGGGCCTCTGCGAGTACGGCAGGTTCCTGTACACCTGATCGATGATCTTCTCCTTCACCTGGGGGGACGGGGGACGGGGACGGGGGACGGGGTTGTGTTCAGTTGTATCATATTGCATCATAAACACACAGCGGTGAATGATTATCTTATTGTATCATTATTATTGCATCGTTTTGTCATCATGTCCTAATGAATCATATCACAGATGGTAATGTAGCTTATTGTTCCGTAATGTATCACAAACAACCTTTAAGGCGTCCTGGTGGATCATTTCCTAATGTCGTATGTAAGTATTCCATCCTATTGCATCTCATCTTAATATTTCATTTTCAGCCAAAAATACACATTAATGTCCATAGTTTTACATGTTGATATAAATATCTATATGTAGGAAGGAGAAACCCTCACCTGTGTGATGGTGTCACAGTTCAACACCTTCACCGGAGTCACATCTGGCCCCTCCCCGTGCACCAACACCTGCAGGGTCTGACATCACAAGCACACCTGTCGCTCAGACCTCCACTCGGGTGCGATCAGATGATCTGATTTGAGAAGCAGGTTTTGAGGTAAAAGTACCTCTGAACACAGGTGTACTCACCAGGACGGAGTACTCCACGTCGTCCCCCAGCAGCCCCGTGTCGTTCAGGGTGTACTTGGCCTTCTTCAGCATGGCGTCCACGGGGCCTTTCTCCACCTGGTGCTTCAAGGCCCTGAACAGCTTGTACAGAGGCTCTCCGGCCGTGTCCTAAACGAGGGAGACAACAGACGCCATGTTGGTTGGAGGGAATTCTAGCTGAAGGACCACAAGAGGAAGTAAAAGGATCTGTGTTACCCTGAGAAACTGGTAGATGCAGATGGACATCCAGTTACAGAGCATCCTCTCCACCACCGTCTCCGACCTGCACACACGCACACACACACACACACACACACGCACACACACACACACACACTCCCTTTAAAGCGGCTCCTTTAGAAGCCACGGCGGCAGCCGGCCGGGCTCTTTCCTCACCTGCGCAGCATGAGCTTCGGGTTCTTGTTCTGCACGTGTTCGTCCATCAGCTCCAGCAGCAGCGTCCTCATGATGTCCGTGTAGTACTCCAGCTTCCCGTGCAGCGCCACCGTCAGCAGCGAGGCGAAGTAACCGCGGGAACGCGCGTTGAAGTCCGGCCGGCTCTCCAGCGTGCGGATGAACTGAGGGGGGAGAGTTTACGCCGAGTTGAGTGGATGGAAAGAGATATGCCTCTTGTGAAGGAAGGAGGAGACAAGGGAAGGAGGAGAGAGAAGGGAAGGAGGAGACAAGGGAAGGGGGAGAGAGAAAGGAAAGGAAGGAGGAGAGAGAAAGGAAAGGAAGGAGGAGAGAGAAAGGAAAGGAAGGAGGAGAGAGAAGGGAAGGAGGAGAGAAAGGAAGGAGGAGAGAAAGGAAGGAGGAGAGAAAGGAAGGAGGAGAGAGAAGGGAAGGAAGAGAGAGAAGGGAAGGAAGAGAGAAGGGAAGGAGGAGAGAGAAAGGAAAGGAAGGAGGAGAGAGAAGGGAAGGAGGAGAGAGAAGGGAAGGAGGAGAGAAAGGAAGGAGGAGAGAAAGGAAGGAGGAGAGAGAAGGGATGGAGGAGAGAGAAGGGAAGGAAGAGAGAGAAGGGAAGGAAGAGAAAGAAGGGAAGGAAGAGAGAGAAGGGAAGGAAGAGAGAGAA